AAAAAAAAAAAAAAAAAAAAAAGAAGAAAAACTCACATCTCGAATAGGAACTTCCTTTCCTCGCATACGACACACCTGAGACAGGACCTCGTAGATATTGGGCCGTTTTTGCGGGGTTTCCTTCAACATGGTTGCTGGAAGGAGAAAGTCGGTCAGTCAATGAGCACAGTACAAACGAGATGATTGGCAAGATCGACGTACCGATGAGCAGCTTCAGCTGGTCGGAGAATTGTGGATAGGGAGGAAATTTGAAGCTAGCGTTCAGGATGGCCATCTGACCGACCTCCTCGAAGGGAGTGGTGTAGTAGCACAGCTTGTACAGGAGGACGCCCAGCGCCCAGATGTCGCTCTTCTCGTCGATGGGCTGCTTGCGGTAGACATCGATCATCTCCGGGCTGCGGTACTGCAAGGTGGTATGGCGCTGGACATCGTCTTCGATCAGCCTGCCCTCGGCGGCCGTGGTGGCCGCGGGTCGGGGCGGTGCGGCGGAACCAAAGTCGCACAACTTGTAGCATACCGAGGCGGAGGCGCGCGAGATGAGCACGTTCTCCACCTTGAGATCGCGGTGCAGCAGGGGCGGCTTGAGGTAATGCATGCAAGCGACTCCCTCAGCGACATCGTCGAAGATGTGCAGAATCTCGGGTTCGGTCAGCCGGTTCTGCAGGCGGGTGTTCATGAAATCGATCAAGCCGCCTCCGTCGCAATACTCCATGAGGAGGAAGACCTCGTAGCCGCCGCCGCGCAGCTGAGAAGCGTGCGAGTCAATGTAGGTGACTATATGGCGGTGGCCCTTGAGCTTTTTCATCGTCTCCACCTCGGTGCGCATGTTGGCAAGGGCCATCTTGTCCGGCACGGCCACGCGCTTCAACACCGCCGTGTCGACGTCGTCGACAGGCTGCGGCAGCCGCACCACGTACACATGGGCAAACCCTCCCTCGGACAGGTATTTCTCGACAACGACGCGGTGACTGCCGACATGTACCTTTGTGCCGGGCAAGAAGGTGCCGGCGGGAGCAGCGACGGAGGTCATGGCCATTGCGGAGGGCAGAATGGCACACGAGGGGGGGGGGGGACCTGTTGATGATAGGTGATCGATCGTTGGCGTCCTGTGTGAAATGAAATGAAACAAAATGAGCGTCGAAGTGTCGACTATCGACAAAGCGAGCCCTCGCGAGGAGGGGGGGGGGGGGGGGGGGGGGGGGAACGGGGGAACGGGGGTCGGAAGTTTGGTGAGGAGAGAGAGAGAGGTGGGAGGAGAGCGTTGAGGAGCGACAGTGAGACAGATCTACGGGAGCTGCATGGATGATAGAGAAAAGAAACAGGCGGGATAGAAATTGAATAAAATAGAGACAACAGCGACGAACGGAATGGTCTTTGAAGAGAAATGGAAGGACAATCGCCGGGAGAGAGCGTGGCAGCCTCAGGGTCGGCGGTGGTGACGGAGGTGGTTGAGACACTAGCCCAGGATTACTTGAGCCACGCTGGAACTCGGGGGGATCAGAGCATGAGTTTAACAGTAGGGAGTTATATTTGTATAGTCGACTTTTTGTACTCCGTATACTACATATGCTACGTGTAGACTACGTGGTGAGCTAGCTATCTTCCCTCTTCTCTCGAGTCTGTCTTGTCCTGCCTGATTGACGATTGACGATTGACGACCCACTTGCGAACCGTATACTTCGTATATAGCAGAAAGGAGACCCGAGACTCAAACAGTATCCGTATGAGAAGAACGTGGTGGTGTAGATCATCCCGACGAGGCAACGCTCTGGCTCACTGGTCAGGTCAGTCGAGGACACTCACTGGATCCGTCGGATGAACCGAGCATAGGCAGCTGTTGGTCATTTTTGCAGTCAGCTGGCCATCTCACGCGTATTGATCTGATGGGTCAGACAGTTATAAACACTGGATGTATGAGGGGGGTTGAGGAGTGGTGAATGATCTCGATGTCTGTTGTCTGTTGTCTGTTGTCTGTTGTCTGTTGGCTCAAGGCTCAAGGCTGGAAAGTCTCCTAAATTCTGATTAATAATAACGCTGACTAATTAACAAGTCCTGGTCACGTGATAATATATACGCTAGGTTTTAACCGGTTAGTGTGTTTATGTAATCAAGGTACGATGACACGTGACTTTGATGAAATATCAATTTTATTAAATATAATAATCAAAAAGGCTTCCGCAAACGGCAAAATCAAAACAAAAACAAGAGGAAGGAATCAAGCCAACATCAGGCAAGACCAGACATAATCAGCGTATCTTATTACCATGATATACCTATAAGAACTATTATACACTCGTTAGCTATCGTAACTATAGGAGGGAACATGCCTGTTGACATTCCACGGATATTAATTAATATGCTAGAGTTTCAGCCGTCAGATCACATTCCTGCTTTATGAGATAGAGTTATCTCAAGTATTTCTGCAGGGCACGTTGAGTAATGAGATCTCTCCTGGTGCTATTATTACCTCTACTATCAAATACCTAAATATACTCCGTAATATTCCTTTCTATGCTCAGTTCAGTTCAGTTCACGATGGACACGTGGGCGGGCGAATACGGAGCTGTAAACAGTCGCAGATGAGGCGATTTTGCCGCCGTGGAAACCGTCCTCTGTCTTCCTTCTCAACGCACGTACGTCTCTATCGAGTCAAGCTCCAGGATACTTCCTTTCTGTCAATATTTACTCCCGCACACGTGTCTCTGCTTGAGTGGTATAGTTTTCCGGGCCTACTAGGCAAATCTATCTGCTGATATATGCAGGGCCAGTGTCTCACAGTCTCTTTGTCTGATCCACCATCCCACCCTGCAGTGGTGCATCCCCTCCCTGGAAAACACCTCTCCTAGACACCTAAACTCTACCGAGTCTTCGATCTCCTCCTGTCGATCTACGTTACCAGAGACGAGCGCTGGGTGCCACGGGCCCTCGGTGCGGTGCGGATGTCGTGTTGAACATGAGCAGATGTGTTTTAGGCAACGGCGTTACGGTTTTTCCATAAGAGAGCGAGAACAAAAAAGAAAAAGAATTGAAACAAAGCCGTGGAGGGGCGAGAGAAAAGAGAGAGAGAGAGAGAGAGAGAGAATCGGTTTTGTGCGACTTGAGGCGAACCCTCTCTGACCGACGACGAGATGGACGGTCCACCTCCTCCCCCCCCTCCGCATGGCGAGAACCCGAACACTACGCACGGCGAGTACCGAAAGGCGTCTGATCTGCCCCAGGGCAACTACGACATCTTTATCATCCCCCCGCATTCCTCCGGGGGCGGCTTCATCTATCTGCCCTCACTGCAGTGCCATCGCAATAGCTTCCTCGCAGGTTCGCTGAGTACTCTCGTGGCCGTGGCCATCTGGCATTTCATCTCCCCCTTTATCAAGACCTGGTACACGCTCGCCATACTTAGCGGGAACGGCGTGGTCATTCTCATCATCGCTATTGTCGTTGGCATTGCGGGTTGGGCCTTTGGCGCCGCCCAGATCAGCTTCGACAGGTTCCAAGGAAACAACACTGACAACAATACCAATCACAATAATTCTCGCCCCGGAGGAGGAAGAAGTTGGTTTGGTGGCGCGGGCGGCGGGTTCGGTTCGCGCAGTGGTCCCCCACCTCCCAACGGTGGCGGTGATGGATCTTTCCGTGGCCACTCATCTCGTCCAAGTGGTGGTGGAGGTGGTGGCTATAATACGGGGGGACCTGAGGCAGGCGGGCAGAACTACAGTGGTGGTTCTTTTGGTGGTGGTGGTGGTGGTGGTGGTGCAGGAAGAGGCGGCAACAACGGTGGACCGTACCCTAGAAACCAGTACAGTACCGGAGGCCCTAGTAGTTCTTCTTCCTCCCCTCCTCCTCCTCCTCCTCC